ATATATAGTTACTAACTAATGTATTCTGTGTGATTTTTCTAGACAACAGACCTGCTAACCCAAGCAATGACAGAGCTCTCCCAGACCCTAACAACAGATTACCGAACACCTCAAGGGGACTACCAGAGGATTCAGTACATCCCTGTGTCTCAGTCCGCATCTGGTCTCCAGCAGCCTCAGCATATACAGCTTCAAGTGGTGCAGGTGGCTCCGGTACAGTGTGATGCATCTTTCTCCTTACCTCTGTGAATGCCATTAGCAAAGGTGGTTGCAGGCTTCCAAAAAAGCATCGAGTAGGGCTGGGATTTAGCTCAGCAGTTATGCCGCCTTCCTTGCAGAGGCAAGGTCCCGAGTTCAATCCCCAGTGCCAAAAGAAAAAGCATCGCGATCTCAGAGGTGGAGCACATAACAAGCTTCTAAGTAGAAGTTCTGAGTGTCCAGCTTTTGTGAAATACCACCTCTACCTCCCTTCTCGGGCTGACAGGGCTCTGGCCTTGGCAAAGTAAGGGAATTTCTACCTGGGTTCCAGCACTTACAGTCATCCTGTGCTATTGCATAGGTAGTAATAGCACCTCTTTCTAGGGCTGGTGATTTAGCTCAGTGGTTCTGGTGCCTGCCTCGCTAGCACAAGGACCCCGAGTTCGATCCCCAGTACCAAAAAAAAAAAAATAGCACCTCTTTCTGAGCCTCATCTGAATCCTTATCCTTTAGTGTCCAGCTTGACTACTTGACAGTTAGCCAATTTGATAAACCCTTAGACGGGCATCAAATTACTTGCATCAGGGGCCAGGGATTTAGCTCAGTGGTTCCACTGCTTGCCTTGCAAGCACAAGGTCCTGATTTTGATCTCTGGTACCAAAAATAAAGACAAAACAAATTACTTGTATCAGTGAGAGGTTATAAAGAATAATTTTAATTTATTTCCTAAATATTAGTAACTTTTTAGTACAGAGGTATAATAACTATGTTCCTTTTGCCAAATTATGAATAGCTCATTCTCACTGATTAGGGACCTAAAAAGAAGGAATGCTCCCAGGACGGTCTTCCATTTCATTATGCTATGAAGAAGTATACTCAAGGCACAAATGAACAAACTTGTTGCTTTGAAATAATTTTGCCTAAAACAAATAATTAAAACAGGACTGGGGATTTAGCTCACTGGTGCTGCAGTCTGCCTCGCAAGTGCAAGGTCCTGAGTTCGATCCCTGGTATACACACACACACACACACACACACACATACATAAAATTAAAACAAACATGATTTTAAACTTACAGAAATTGGAAATTGTCATGGTCACTGACTGTTGTTCATGCTGTCATGTTTTCTTTTCCTTCTTTTTCTTTTTTTTTTTGAGATAGGGTCTCACTATGTAGTTGAGACTGACCTGGAACTCACTATGTAGTCCAGGCTGCTCTCAAACTCACAACAATCCTCCTGCCTCAGCCTCCTGCATGCTGGGATTACAGGTGTGTGCCACCACGCCTGGCTGGTGTCTTGTTTTCTTATGGGAGGGTTCTTAGCTTTAGGCTTTGGAGGGAGCTGAGAGGCTGTGCTGTGGTTTATCAACTTGAATATGCACATTGCTCTGGAAAAAGGGGCCATAGTTGGCCAGATTTTTAAATATGTCTCTGATATGAACAAGATTAGGGACCACAGTTCAGTATATCACTAGTGACAAACTAACAGCAGATTCTCTGCTTTGATCTCTTACTTGGTGAGGGAAGGCCACTCAATGTAGTTGAAATTTGGGAAAATGCTGATTTCTGAAAGCTTCTGAGGCAACTTATATATACTAGGACCATTTTCCTTCTCTTTCCTCTTCCAGAATGTCAGACACATATGCTTTAGAAGCACACTTTTTCATAGTCTTTTTCTCTACTCTTGGCCAGTTTGTGGGCCCTCTGGATGTGCAGTAATGAGTCTGAAGTTCCCTTTGTGCTTCTCTTGCTGTCAGGATATTGAATTTTTAAAAAAATGATCCTAGGGCCAGGGATTTAGCTCAGTGGTTCCGCTGCTTGCGTCACAAGCATGAAGTCCCGAGTTTGAGTCCCAGTACCAAAAAAAAACCAAATGATCCTACTTCTCTAGAGGAGTTGGCATACTTTCTATAAATAGGTCAGAGAGTAAAAAACCTTGGATTTTGCTGTTTTGTGTCTGTGGCAGCAACTTGACTCTTTCCTGAGAGATGAAGGAGTGGCTTGAGAGGGGAGGCTCAGGGAGAGGGGAGTGACCAACACTGCTATAGCCAGCAGGTTTTTCTTACCTGGGGGGCTATGGAGGCAGGAGAGCACAGAGGAAGCGCCTGAGACTCCTTTGCTTTGTGGGATTTTTTTTTTTTTTTGGGACTGGGGATTGAACTCAGGACCTTGGTTTATCAGGCATGTGGCAGAATCACTGGGCTAAATCCTCCGGTTTTTTTTTTTTTTTTTTTTTTTTTTTTTTTTTTTTTTTTTTTTTTTTTTTTTTTTTTTTTTTTTTTTTTTTTTTTCTTTTGTACTGGGAATTTAATGTAAGGCCTTCACACTGAGCTACATCTGTAGCCCTTCTTACTTACTGTTTTATTTTGAGACAGAGACACGGTCTCACTAAATTTCTAAATTGCTCAGGTTGGGCTTGAATTTGTAGTTCTCTTGCCTCAGCCTTCCAGAGTTCTGGGATTACAGCTGGGTGCCAGCACACCTACTTTAGGGATATTACTTTTAACTGAACTTTCTCTGTGGAAAGGTTTTCTTTAACCTCATTCCATACATATTTGGTTTCTGGGCTTGTTTTTCTCCCTCCAGGCCACTTCCCCTCACCAGTCTCAGCAATCCACTGTAGATGTGGGCCAGCTCCACGACCCTCAGACCTACACACAGCATGCCATCCAAGTGCAGCACATCCAGGTTACGGAGTCTACCGCCTCTGCCCCAGCGTCATCCCAGGTACACTGCAGAGAAGTACTTGTGGCAGCAGGCACCACAACAGTGAGACATCATCCCTGACCACTGAGGTGATGTCGTTCACTGCGTTGTTATTGATTCCCCTATCCCGGTGGAACCCTGTGATATAGCCTGGAAGCATTGACCTTTCTTCCTATTGCACTTGCTAAATTGGAACAATGACTTCATGGGTATTACTGTGTATTATTTTGTTTGTATGATTGAGTCTTTCTGAAATACATAGGGGGAAGTGTGGAAATTCAGAAGAGGGAGAAAATATGTGTAGCAGGGAATCAAGAGACATCTTTGAAGATGTGACCTTTGAATTAGCTCTTTTTTTTTTCTTTTTTAGTTTATTGATACAATCTAGGTCTACAATACAGTTACATTCATTACTGGGATCCTGTACTTTCACATGACAGGTCTTGGTTCTCATTTTTTCCCCTTGTCCCTACCCTACCTTCACCCCCTCTTCTCCTCCCCATTAACAAACTCTTTATTTCCATTTTTTCATTTTTCACATATATTTTCTTTTCCCTTATTTTGGTTTTGTTTTTTGTTTTTGGTACCGGGGATCGAACTCAGGTCCTTGCGCTTGCGAGGCAGGCCACCGAACTGCTGAGCTAAATCCCCGGCCCCTCTTTTCCCTTATTTTGAATTAGCCCTTAAAGGAAGAGCAGAGTTTTGACATGTTGTTTGGGGAAGTTCACAGTGTGGTAAACGAGGGAGGTGGGAAATTGCAGAGTATTTATAGGAAATTGTGAGTTGATTCTGTTCAGAATAGGAAATGATGTTTGGAAAGAAAGTTTGGAGCAGGATTATGGAGAGCTTTGAACAACAGACAGTGGAGCATGGGCCTCTCTGCAGTAAGGAATAAGCCTCTCCACAGGATGTCTGCCTGTGTACCTTACTTCACATAGACTCGGATGGGATTATCCAGTGCAGTTTAATGGAAACTGATGCAGGAATTATTTCCATTCGTGTTGCACATTAGCCCTGTGACACTGGCAAGTTAGTTCACCTCTTGTGTTTTGTTTTGTTTTTTTAACTTATACAATGTAAACAATTATACTTTCATTCACTTATGTTTCAGACAAGTTCAGGGAAGTTAAGTTTTTGAGTACTCTTACAGGTAATCCTTGGAAACAAATGAGAATTTCAGAGTTATGATTTCATTTCATTAATTTGAATATTTAAATATTATTACCCTAGCAGCGATACTTTCAGTCTTATAATTCATATCAGTGTGTTTTATTCTTTCTGTTATTTCTGAGTCCTAAATCTATTAGAATTTCTCAATTTCCTGCCCCTGTGTCCTCCTTCCCCCTAGATAGCTGGGCAGCCCTTGAGTCCCTCTGCCCAGCAGGTGCAGCAGGGGCTCAGCCCCTCCCATATTCAAGGCAGTTCTTCGTCACAAGGGCAGGCCTTGCAGCAACAGCAACAGCAGCAGCAGCAACAGCAACAACAACAGCAGCAGCAGCAACAGCAGCAGCAGCAGCAACAGCAGCAGCAGCAACAGAGCTCCTCAGTACAACACACATACCTACCCAATGCTTGGAACTCCTTCCGTGCCTACTGTGAGTAAGGAAAAGGGGATAGCACTGTGCAGTTTGTGAATCTCCAGCTCAGGGCCTTAATTTAATCAGCTTTATGGTAGGTTTTTTGGATTAAAATATCAACTGATCATTTTCTACACTCTCTGGTTGCATATATTTGAATGAGTTTCATGAAAAAACTCAAGGCCTTGTTTTGATCTCAGAGAGCCAATCTTCAGGGTTTTTTTTGGTACCGGGGATTGAACTCAGGACCTTGTGCTTGTGAGGTAGAGGTAGGTACCAGAACTACTGAGCCAAATCCCCAGCCCCTCAGAGAGCAAATCTGATAGAATGTTTTCAGAGACATTAGGTAGTTTTCTAGAGGAAGTTCAGGTAGGTAACTTAAATAGAATAGATGAATAGTGGATGTGTTAATGCTAATAATTTATTTCTTTTACCAATATTTATTGAATGCTTCTGTATTCATCACTATGCTTGACCCAGAGTATATGAAAATTAATATTAACAATAATATCCATAATATCACAAAATAATAACATTGACCAACTTTTATTATGCTCTATATACCAGGAATGATTCTAAAGCACATTTATCACACTCAGCATTTACAAAATCCTACAAGATAAACACAACTATTATTTGCAATTATAGATAAGGCAATTGAGACATAACAACTTGTCTGAGAGACATAGCTATCAGTGGAGGATTGGAGCCAAGCAAATCTGGCTTCAGAGCTTACACTCTATAAACCACCTCACTGTGATGGTCCTAATAAGACAGTCTCTGGCTCGAGCAGATCATCGTTAGCAGAGGAGATGCAAAATGAGTAGCTGATTCAAAACCCTGAGATCATTGCTATGGGCTTAGTTACTAGTTGGCTGCCAGAAGTCAAGCAAGTGAAAAACCTTGGTTGGGACAACAGCCTTGGTTTGTTTGAGTTGGGTTCCAAGTAAGGGTCATAATGTAATTGATTGTATCTCCTGAGTTCTAGATTTTGTTGGGGCATCCTCATGTTGTCCTTAACATACTTTTTATTTCCTGTAGACTGGCAGTTATACCTGCAGTTTTGATGAGTATTGGGTTCAGTTTTTTCCCACAAGGTACTTCAGAGCTGATACGTACACTTCTATCAGGAAGCATATAATGTTTGGTTGTCTGTCTTTTTTTGTGTTTATTCCTAAGCTCAATTATTTTATTAGAGCTCACAGAGTTGCAGAACTGTGATATTCTATCATTCTTATTCATTAATTAACTAGAAAAAAAATTTTTTTTGGTACTGGAGATCAAACTCAGGTCCTTGCGCTTGCCAGGCAGGCAGTGGAACCACTGAACTAAATCCTCAGTGAACTAGAAAAATTGTATTAAAGAAAAATTTCCCTTAGCTACGAGATTACTTTGAGATACACTTTGAATAGGGAAGGTAGGATAATTTCTTTTCTTTTTTTTTTAGGACATGATATTTTTTACTTAACAATAGATTCATTGGGATGTAACACCATTGTATGAGAAGAGGAACACCTATTTGTTTCTAGAACTTATCTTAAAAGTCCTAGATCATTGAACTTTATGTATTTCTTGTTTTCCAGCTTCTGAGATTCAAATGATGACTCTTCCCTCTGGTCAGTTTGTGATTACAGACAGTGGCGTGGCAGCTCCTGTCACATCGGGCCAGGTGAAGACGGTCGCTCCGGTAAGCCGCCCTGCCCATGTGCTGGTGCTGTGTTGGAACCCTCGTCACAGTTCAGGTTTTAGTGATCAGTCTATTTTTTGGTTTCTCACATAGAAGATTCCTTGAAAGCTGGCTCTTACCCTTTTTTGGGAGGCTTACCTGTTCAACTAGTAACTACATCCAGTACCCCAGATCCATCTGTATATGATCACCTTTTTATGTGCTTCTTGGAAATATTAGAATCCTCAAGATTATTGGTTCACAACTGGTCTGGGAAAGAATAATATAGTGATTCAATTACAGAGTTATTTTAAACAATTCATTCACCCACTCCAAGATGAAAAATATTGCTGTAAATTATCTTGTCATATTTAATTTGGGAAGATACAATATTGACTCTACCTGCTGCTTATGTTTTTATCTTCACAGGTTTGTTGTGACCTGCCTCTAAGTTTTTAGAAGACAGAGTATACACATTTAAATTAAGAAAAATACTTTTGGGGTGGGGAACATGTGCTCAACATGCATGAGGCTCTGGATTCCATGCCCAATAGCAAAAAAAGAAAAGAAAAACTGTGTTAGGTGACTGAGCTCTAGAAATCTCGTGTACAGCATTGTGACTGTAACTAATAATGTATTGTATACACAAAAATGGCTACGAGAATAGATCTTAAATATTCATACCACAATGCATCATATACCAAATCATCATGTTGTACACCATAAATATATACGCTTTTTGTCAAGTATACCTTAATGAAGCTGGGAGGAAAACAGAATAATACTCTTAAGTGACTAGGGGATGTTGAGATATTCCCAGGGGAAGATTATTTTCTAGGAGGCCTAGGGATAGCAGAGTAGCCTGGTGGCTTAAAAAACCCAATTTTCAAAGAGAGCATACTGACAGTTTGCTCATTTCTCAGCACACAGATCATATGAACTAGAGGTAGGAGAAACAGAGTGACACTGTTAAATTGTCAATGGAACAGTCCCATTGGCATGGTCAGTGCCTTCTCTGTTCCCTGGAAGACCTATTAACTATGAGTGTGTTTGTTTATTTGTAGTTTGGCCATGAACTCATTTGAGAACCTGATTATGGGGCCCAGGATGTTTCCTGCTCTTTGCACAATATACATAAGCACAGCATGTATGTACATTTTGGGGACCTCATGGATTCTCTACAGCCCACCTACGGATCCCTAGGAGTCAATGGATCCTGGATTGAGAATCCCCTCCCTACCACAGGAAGGAACTAAATCATAATCAGAAAACTGCTTGGTAGGCAAGGCTTCAGAACACGTGGCCCCAGATAAATCAAACAAGTATTTGGCTATGGCCTTTTTTTCTGGACAATGCTTGGAAAGGCCATTATCTGAGTTTCCCTCTGTGCCTGCTTTTTCCCCTGTTATTAGGCAGTTTTTTGTTACTATAACAAAATACCTGAAGTAATTAACTTATAAAAGGTCTGTTCAGCTTACAGTTTTGTTGGTTCTGGTTCATAATCTAGTGGCCTTGTTCTCACAAGGAGCATATCATGGTGGAGCACATGGCAGAGCAGGCTACTCACTTTGTCAGCCAGGAAGCACAGAAAAGAAGAGGAAGGGCCAAGGAATCCCATCAAGGGCCCCACTTAAACACTACCATCTCTTGATAGTACCACTGTAGGGACCAAGCTTTCAGCCCAGAGCACTGGCAAACACTTATTCAAACCATAGCATCCTGCTTCTATAGATGACCAATCTCCCTTCTGATAGACATTCTTTCTTTAAAAGTGTTAACATAATGAAATAGCCAACGTACAGATCTGTGAAGAAGTTTTATGATCAGAGGAAAACATGAAAATTCCTTTAAATTTACTCAGCATAAGGGACTTCATTCTGATGCTGTACACTTCCTGTGCTTTTTTATTCCTCCCCCGCTTTGCATGGTGTTGGAGATCAAACATAGGGCCTCAAACATGCCAGGCAAGTAGTCTATACTTCATTTCCCTTCCTGTGCTCTTAAGTGTTAGAATGCATATTTGATGGTAGCACATTTTAAATATCCTTACTTACTTGGCAAAATAAAACTTTTGGACGCCTTTAGTATTATTTTTAATTTTCTGATCTTCAAAGTTCTAAATCTGGGGACCATTAATCTTGATTAACTGTTTTAGGGGCCTCTTTAAAAAGGAAACTTTATCTCTTTGATCTATTTTGTATTAATCTAAACATGTGATTGACAGCACTTCTAAATTCAGGTAGAATTTCTTAATTCTTAAGAACATTATGAAAGCACATACTGTATTTTTGGCTGGTAGGTTACTACTGTGATGCAAATTTCTGCACCTAAAGTTCTTCACTGTGATTTGGTAATACAGCTAATGTGATCCCTTAAATTAACCTCTGTAGCCAGTTACTGTGACTGATTCATGCTCTACAGGACAGAGGTAAAGCATCTCTCATAGGTGCCTATTTCAGGTCCCTGTGCAACATTTCTTTGGTATTCCATCCTCCTGTATCTTACCCCTCCCTTTTAGGCCCCAGAGTTTTAAAGATCCTTCTTTTCCTGCTCTAGGGTCATTATGTGTTGTCAGAAAGTCAACCAGAATTGGAAGAAAAGCAAACTTCTACTCTCCCCAGTGGAGTCCAGGTTCAGCCATCTGCACACAGTGACTCCCTAGACCCCCAAACCAACAGCCAACAGCAGACCACACAGTACATCATCACGACCACCACTAATGGGAACGGGAGCAGCGAAGTCCACATCACCAAACCATAGCTTCCGTCCTGGAGCTAGCATCTGCACTCATGTCATGTCTATTTTCATTTGTCAGTCTGAAGCTTCTAACACTTAGACCTCTTTTTAAAAATTTGTTATGTACTCAAGAGCCTGGAAACTACAGTCAGCACCCTTACATATAGCAGAGTTGGCTTTGTCAAGGTCATCTGTACCAAACTGACTCTTCAAACCCCGGAGTTTCTGCCACAGAAGGGAAATCTTTCAGGGGAAGGTAGATTTCAAGATGAAGAAACTTTGCTTTGCTCTTGAGTTGGTTTTTTTTAACTCACTAATAAGCCTTACTTTCCCTTTGTGGAAATACTAAGTGGTATATTGTGTTCATACCAAAGGTGGAGATGAGATGTGCCATGTCCATGGTCATTGGACTTCAGAATTCTAGCCCTGGCACCAAAGCACAAGGGGCATTTCATGGGCATGAATTAGGTCTGCACTGCTTTTTATCTTGTGAGCTTGAGGAGTTTACTGGATAAGGAAATAAAAATGAAGCAAAAGTTTGATAGAGGTGTTCTGAAGGAAAAACTCATTTTAAAATTTCAGATTGTTGATTTTTTTTTTTTTTTTTTTTG